CCAAGATCTTCCTAAAGGGAGCTGGCCCGTGCTCCCTTGGTCCTGGGGAAGTACACTGGGGTGGAGGTGGGAGGTGAGAAGTGTTACATCAGGAAGGAGACAGGAACTAAGGTTGGAGCAGCCCAGAGAGGCCCTGAAGAGAAAAGGACATGGCGGGGGCGGGGGCGGGAGGTGGGAAGGAGCTGGGGGCGGGGCTTACTTTGCCTTGCCTCGTCTTCCTTTCCACCGAGCAGGGCGCGCACCGCACGGGCACGGCTCCCGAGCCCAGGTGTCAATCGGGCAAGGTGAGGGTTCCTCGTCCTCCACCCACGTGGGGTCCTCTGCTAGGTGGGGTTCTCCCTCATCCCGGGGCATGAATCGCATCTGGCCCATGCTCAACATGGTCTCCCATGCCCAGTCGACTGCGTACGGAATGCACTGCGGAGGCGAGAAACGGTCTCAATCCAGCAGGCAGGGGTCAGGGAGAGAGGAGATGGGTCTGGAGGACGCGGATCCAGGCCTACCTGCCGTTCCAGGTAGGATTTGCAGGCGGCATCCATCACTCGGTACACCAGTACTTCCGCGATGTCGCCCACCACCTCCTCACCCTCCTCACCAGCCCTCAGCTTCGCCGCCTCCACCTCAGTCAGCTCTCCAGGCATGATGTCCCCTTGCGGCACCGGAACCTTAGGCGACATGGCCTTTTCCGCCTTGGTTCGGGTCACTCTGGGGTCTCTGGCCTGCTTCTCTGTGGGAAAGGAACAGACAAATCAGGGCGAGAAACCCAGGAGTGGAGAAGGAGGAAGCTTCCTCAAGTTGTCTAATAGGAAGGAAAAACCTTCTGAAAGGGACAATTTACTAAGAGCCTACTACGAGGCAGACGCTTTTCGGGTGAGTGACCTCGCTAATTCAATTTTCCTAACAGCTCACTAAGCCCGTTTTACTGACAAAGAAACTGAAACTTGACAGAAGTTAACCTGCATTTGCTTGAGGTTACACCCTGAACCCAGGCTATGTATAGCTCTAACCGCATCCTGGTGATGATTTGTGCTTATATCAAGCCTTGGAACTTTAAATCTCTTTTTGTGTACTTCCTGTATTTATTCATTTCTACTTTGTTTTTTGATATAATTCACAATCATCTCACTCAATGTTACATTAATATTAATGAAAGGTATTGATAAACTCTCAATTCCTCTGCGGACAGAAGTTTTCTATGTCTTTTGTTTTATTGGTATTATTATTGTAATCATTCTGTTTCTCATTAGTATCGTTTTAATTCTAGCTGACGTCCCATTCTCTATTTTTTGCCCTTAATTGATAGGATTTCTCTAAAAAATGGACCATTTTAAGATGTAGTCATCTTGTCTAACACAAGAAACATATACAAATCTTACACAAATAATACACGGAACAAGTGTGGTCTCCCAAGGGAGCCATGAATTTTGGGATATGTAGGATGCTGCAGCCATTGATATTTTGGCCCTATGCCTCTCTTCTCATTGTAGAGATAGTGTTCTGGTTCCTGCTGTTGTGACTGTACCTTGGGATGCCAGCAGCATTGTAACAGAGAAGAACCAACCTTACTCCACACTGGATCTATTTCTTTAAACTCTATCCCTTGTGCTCTGTAGCTAATTGCTCTCTGCCCAGCCTTGCTAACTCCGCGTGTAGGCGCACTCAACATGGAAGGAATGTGGTCTGTAGCTTGAAGTACACATAATATCCCCTTTCCAGAAACTCTGTCTCCCATGCTTAACTTTTAAAACTAAAACACTTTTGCTTAGCTTGTCGATGCACTAATTACCAGAAAGATCCTTTTCCCTTCCTTGGCGACCACTCATCCACAGAAATAAGTTATGAAGCTGATAATAAACAACATCTGTCTTGTTGAAGATTCACAGGAGCATCCTGGCCAGGTCATCATTGAACAACTGCAAGAACAAAGGATTACCAGGTTGCCTCCAAGGTCTGGTCAGCACCAGGGGGTCTGCAACAACCCAGCGCCTCTTGACCTCTCTCCCTCTTTGTAGCATAAAAGAAGCCTGTATTCAAACCCGAACAAGGTGGTTCTGTAGGACATTAGTCTGCCATCTTCTCAGTTTTCTGGCTTTCTGAACAAAGTCACTATTTCTTGCCCCAAGAACTTACTGTCCTATTGTGTGGTGACTTATTGGCCTGTCACGCAGCAAGCGGTACAAGCACAGACTTGGTAACAGTATGAGATTAACAGAATCTATGATGAGTGGTCAAAGAGAACCTGGGTCATGATTTCAAAAATACGGGGATATAGAAGGAGAAAAAAGCCTTCTAAACATTTTCTTTTGGATGATACTATGATCATAATGGGTTTACTAAAAGAAATACACACTGCTCTTATGGATTAAAATAAATCTTCCCAAAGCCTTTTCCCCCCTTCTCTTCAAAATACAGATGCTAAGAATAAAATATGAAGATATTTTTATATAAAAAAATTCAAACTTTTCAGTAAAATTAATTAGTCATAAAAAGGACATATACATTAAAGAAATGGGTTGATAAGGAAAATATATAAATTTATTTCACCTCCAGAAAATACACCAAACTGAACTAATTTATATATAATATACCATCATATTTAAGGAAGTTAGCACTCCATAAAATACATGTAATCTGATTAGAAAAACATCATTCTTCCTTTAACCAATACTCTATTTATGATGTTAATTTTTCATTGGAACCAGAGTGCTACTTTTAGAAGAATACATCTACTATGGACTATTTGGTCAACATCCCTGCTACTAAAATATATATTTATTACATTTCAAAAATCTTTTATTGTAATTTAGAATTGTTTCTTATACAGTTTTTTACTATTTGCAGACTTGAATTATGCTTTGTCAACAGATACAACATGGGCTTCTGATATTTATCTTGCACATTAGTGTCAGTTCTACTGGAAATGTAACTCAAGTATAATTGTAATCGAGCGAGACTTTATAGACACCTGCCTCATATCCTCTGCCTGCCTCTTGTTTGTAGAAAAGCTTTAGTCTCCAGGCCTCCCCTGAGTCACAAAAGACTTTCAAGTATATAATACAATATAATTAACTGTAATCATCCAGCTGTACCTTAGATTCCCAAGAACTTATTCATCTTATTACTGGAATTTTGTACCCTTTGACCAACATCTCCTCATTTCCCTTACTACCCAGCCCCCAGCAATCACCACTCTTTTCTGTAAATGTAATTTACATTTGCCTTTTTTTAGATTCCACATACAAGTGACATTATGCAATACTTGCTTTCTTCTGTCTGACATTTCATTTAGCATAATGCCTCTAAGTCCATCCATGGTGTACAATGGTAGGATTTCATACTTTCTCGCAGCTGAATAATACCCCATTTTATACACACACACACACACACACACACACACACATATATATGTATATCTCATATCTTCTTTATCCATTCATCCACTGATGCATACTTAAGTTGTTTTCATATCTTGGATATTGTGAACAATGCTGCAATATACATGGGAGTGCGCATATCTCTTTTAGATCTTGTTTTTATTTTTTCTGGCTATTACCCAGGAATGGGATTGCTGGATCATATGATAATTCTATTTTTAATTATTTGAAGAAAATCCACTGTGTTTTTCGTAGTGGCTGAACCACTTTACATTCCTACCAACAGTGCACAAGGGTTCCTTTTTCACCACCTCCTCACCAACATTTGTTTTCTCTTCTCTTTTTGATGCCAGCCACTCTAACAGGTGTGAGGTGAGAGCCCACTGTGGCCCTGATGGTGTGTGATGTTGAGCAGCTTTCACCTACACCTTTTGGTCATTTTTATGTCTTTTTTGGGAAAATGTCTTCAGATCTTTTGGGTTATTGCTATTGAGTTGCATGTGTTCTTTGTACATTTTGCATATTAACTCCTTATCAGATACATGATTTGCAACTATTTTCTCCCATTCTGTAGGTTGCCTTTTCATTTTGTTGATTGTTTCTTTCGCTGTACAGAAGCATTTGGATTTTACATAGTCCCATTTATTACTCTTATTTTTGTCTTTGTTGCTTGTGCTTTTTTATGTCATCCAAAAATTTGACGCCATGATTAATTTTAAAGAGTTTTTTCCTTTTATTTTCTTCTAGTAGCTCTATGGTTTCTATTCTTATGTTTAGTCTTAAGTTCATTTTGAGTTAATTTTGTGAGTGGCATAGGACTGTGGTCCAATTTTATTCTTCTGTCTATGGTTATTCAGTTTTCCAAACACGATTTATTAAAGAGACTATCCTTTCCTCATTGAATAAAAAATATATTGGTTGAACATATATGTGGGGGTTTATTTCTGGACTCCTGATTCCTTTCCATTGGTCTACATGTCTATATTTACATTAGTACCATTCTCTCTTATTATTATAGGTTGTAATATAGTTTGAAATCAAGAACTTTCATGGCTCCAGATTTGTTCTTTCTCAAGATTTCTTTGAATGCTCACGGTCTTTGGTGGTTTCATACAAATTTTAAGATTAATTTTTTTATTTCTGCAAAAAATGAAATTGGAATTTTGATAGGGATCATAGTCGTACTGGCTCTATAGTTGTCTTTGGATAGTATGGGCATTTAAAAATCTTAAATTGTCTAATCCATGAACATGGAATATTTTTCCATTTGTGTCTTTTTTAAAATCAGTATCTTTTAATTTTCAGTGTTCAATTTTCTCTCTTTTGCGGTTAATTTTATTCCTAAGTATTTTATTGCTTTTGATGTTGCCTTGAAAGCGGTTGTTTTCTTTATTTTTTTTCATATGTTTTGTTGTTAGTGTACAGAAATGCAACTGATTTCTATACGCAACTGATTTTGTATCACGCAACTTTATTGAATTTATTGATTAGTTCTAATTTATTGACAGACTTTTTAGATTTTCTATATTTAAGATTATACCATTTGCAAACAAAGACAATTTTACCTCTTCATTTCCTACTTAGATTTTTTTGTGATTGCTCAGGCTACTAATACCAGTAATATGGCAATAAAAATGGTAAGAGTGGGCACCCTGTCTTGTTCCTTATTTTAGAGAATGACATTTCAACCATTCACTATAGAATGTGTTTTTACCTCTGGCCTTTACATATATGACCTTTATTATGTTGAGATATATGCCTTCTATACCCAACTTCTGATGAGTTATAATAATGAAATGATGTTGAATAATGTCAATTTTGTTTCTGTAACTATTGAGATTATCATATGATTTTATTCTTCATGTTAATATGATGAATCACATTAATTGATTTGCATATGGTGAACCATCCACGCATTGCATGAATAACTCCCACTTGATCATGGAATATGAGGCTTTCATTGTGCTGTTGAATTCAGTTTGCTAATATTTTGTTGAGGATTTGGGTATCAAGAATACTCATCTGTAGTTTTCTTTTGGTAGCCTCACCTGACTTTGTTATCAGAGTAATGCTAGCTTTGTAAAATGAATTTTGAATGTTCCCACCCCCATATTTTTTGGTAGATTTTAAGAAGGTTTGGCACTAGTTCTTGAATGTTTTGTAAAATTCACCAGTGAAGCCATTTGGTCCTTGGCTTTTCTTTGTTGAGAGAATTTTGACTATCAATTCAATCTTCTTACTTCTTATTGGTTTGTTCAGATTTTCTTTCTTCTTGATTCAGTCTTAGTCGGATTTACATTTCTAGAATTTATTCATTTCTTCTAGGTTATCAAATTTATTGGCATACAATTGCTGATAGTAGTCTCTTATGACCCTTGTAATTTACTCAGTATCAGTTGTAATGTCTCTTCTTTCATTTTTTATTTTATTTGAGTATTCTCTCTTTTCTTAATTTAGCTGAAATTTGTCAATTTTGTTCCAAAATATTTCTTCCTTTCCATTTTGATATTTTCTTTGACTCATTGGTTATTTTTCCAGCTCTCTTACTGTTACT